AAGAATTATGGGGGAATGTTGGTTGTCAGGTTCATCTTAGGAATGTTTGAAGCCGGTATATCACCAGCTTGCATGATGATATGCTCAATGTTTTATACAAGAGAAGAACAACCGTTTAGAATGTGTACTTTTTTATCGTGTAATGGTATTGCAACTATGGTTGGTGCATTATTAGGTTATGGGTTGGGACATTCAACAAACGCGTCTATTAAATCATGGAAATTGATATTTTTAGTAATAGGATTACTCAATTTGGTATGGTCTATAGTATTCATTTGGTTATGCCCCGATTCGCCAGCGACAGCGACATTTATTAATGAAAGAGAAAAATCCATTGTTGTTGACAAAATTTCAAAGAATAATATGGGTATCAAGGACAAGAAATTCAGGAAATATCAAGTCATTGAAGTGTTTTCAGATCCATCCGTTTGGTTAATTTCTCTTATAGGACTCTCATGTGGAATTATCAACGGTGGTGTTTCAAACTTTTCGTCTGCATTAATTAAAGGATATGGATTTAGTGGATTGAATGCAACTGCTTTACAATTGCCGACCGGAGCTATTGAGTTTGTAGTTGTGTTTATCGCTGGTATCGTAGCGATAAGTATAAAAGATACCAGATGCATAATATTCGTGTTACTTTGCGTACCGGGCCTTGCAGGATTGATTGGAATTCATCTAATTGATTTAAATCACAAATGGGCATTAGTGGGATGTACCTGGCTTCAGTTTATAGTCGGGGGTCCAGTTATTTTATCGTGGATATTTCTAACTGGTAATATCGGTGGACATACGAAGAAAACAATTTCTAATGGTGTTTGGTTTACACTTTATGCAGCTGGTAATATAGTTGGGGCAAACATATTTTTTGAGAATGAAGCACCTAAATATACAAGTGCTATCGTTGGTTTAATTACATGTTATTCAGGGATGATGGTAATTGGAATTATGTATAGACTTTTGCTTATGCATAGGAATAAAATGAGAACAGAGGAACAAGGTGAGTACAATGAAGATATAGCCAAGCAAGCGATTATCGATGGCTTTAATGATTTGACAGATTTCGAGAATCGAGGTTTCAGGTATGCCTTATAAAGCTTAATTCTTGAAGTGTTATTATTTCACTGTCTAGTACTTCTATCTTAACTTAGATAATTTATTTTAGTATAGAAGAGTAGATACATTTCATTGCGTATAAAACAAAGAATATGATGCAGATTCAGTCATTTCAGATTTTATCTAGGGAATATTCTCCCATCCATACTTTGAATTAATTTCAGTTACACCTATAAAATGCAACTCGGTTAATTCTCTTGATTTTAATTCATCTCTGAGGAATATAAGACTCGAGACGCAACTATAAGGTTCAGGGAAAGTGATTATGATCTGGTGTCACATGAGCTGTATATCAACTTGAAATAATACGAATTTCTTAAATCCTAAAGGTGCAGCAGTGAACGTTTTAGAGTTAGTAAATTAGTCAAATACTGCATATGGATACATTATCCCAGACCTGGTTGCTTTACCGGAGCTATCATTTGATCATAAGCAGATAATACATATGTCACATGAAAAGAAAGTTGGCGGGGAAAAAAGAACATATATAACAACAGAAAACTAATTTGTACAAAAATCGTATTCTCTTTTTCATAAGTTATCAAGATGTCTTATGAACTGAAAGGAAGACCTTGCCAAACATAATCAAAAAGATGATTGCTGGGTATCCTTGAATCATCGTAAAGTATATAATATCACAGAGTTTCTTACGAACCACCCAGGTGGTGTGCCATTACTTTTAAAATATGGTGGTAAAGATGTAACGCAAATTCTTGCTGGAGGACCAAAAAATAGAAGCCATGTACACTCTAATACTGCTTACGAGATTTTAGAGGATGGAATGTTCGTAGGAATATTAGTGAATGCAAGTGAACAAGAGAGACTTGATGGTGGAGATGAAGATTTAGCAAGTTCATTCAGAAATGAGTTGCCTACATTCGATCTTATGACAAAAGATACGGATGCTAAAAAAGATTTCGAAAGATATCGCTTCTTAGATATCGCGGAGCCTTTAATGCCCCAGATCATGAAAGCACATTGGACAAAGGACTTTTACTTGGACCAAGTTCATCGCCCTCGTCATTGTTCCAAAGGTGCTCGAGTTTATGCAAATCCCATAATGGACTTATTTTTTTCAAGGGTTCCGTGGTGGGCTATTGTATTATACTCACCTATTGGAATTGTGACGTTCATTGCTGGAAAAAGAGCATTGGTCGAATTGGGTGCTTCTCACGACATTTACAAGTATTTCATATTGGGTATGGGCATTTGGACGATTGGGGAGTATATTCTTCACAGATTTGTTTTCCATATGGATAGATATTTACCTGATTATAACCAAGTATTGTTCGCATTACATTTTGCAATCCATGGCGTCCATCATTTTTTGCCTATGGACCCTGAAAGAATCGCTGCACCTCCACCAATGGTTTTGCTTTTAAACTTTTTAGAATGGTATATATTGTACATGACTTTTGGTCCAGCCTATGGAAATATTATATTCGCAGGTAGTTTCACAAACTTCTTGTGGTATGAAGAATTTCACATCTCATTGCATACTAATCCTGAGTTCTATCAATTTTGGACAGGTTGGTGGTCCCATCATACTGAAATGAAGAGGTATCACTTGCAACATCATTATAAGAATTACGATTGGGGTTTTGGTGTAACTTCTAAGATTTGGGATTATGCATTCAAAACTGTATTGGACTCTGAAGATGAAAACCAGGTGCACTCAAAATAGAATTATGAGTCAATTCAATTATGTGAACCTTATATATTTATTACATATATTTATTTTAAAAAAGACAATTACATGGGTAAGGTTTTGTAATGTAAAAGCTATGTATTGTAGTCTGATTAATGCAATTTCTTGTATATAATTAGATTGCTTATTATACAATCATCTGAATTTGTTGCGCGCAGATTGAAATAAATTCGGCCGAAGTAATTTCAGGTATATCAAATGCGCAAGTTTAACGTGCTTTATACTCCGAGGAATACAGTATATAAATACGTAGAATAAGCTTCATGGAAGTCGAATTGAAGTATTCACTATATTAAACAGGATGCAATTCTACAGCAAAGAACACGAAATTAAAGGTAAAGTCGCACTTATTACTGGTGGTGTGAAGAATCTTGGAGAAGCAACTGCCAAAGAGTTGGCTAGGTGCGGAGCCAATTTATTTTTGCACTTTCATTCATCAAAAGATAAGGATGCAGCAGAGAAATTAGCACAGGATTTACAAAGCACATATGCAGACATTAAAGTAGAACTCTATCAGGGTGACTTGGATAAGGCAACAGATTTGACTGACCTTTTTGATGCCGCTAAGCAGAAGTTTCCCCAAGGAGTCGATATTGCAGTCAACAATGTCGGAATGGTATTAAAAAAGCCCATTAAAGACATCACAGAAGCGGAATTTGACAAAATGGACAACATTAATAACAAAACCGCTTTCTTCTTTATCAAAGAGGCTTCTAAAAATGTAAATGAAAACGGAAAGATTGTTTCTTTAGTCACATCACTTTTGGCTGCCTACACTCCATTTTATGCTGCATATCAGGGTAATAAATCTGGAGTTGAATATTATTCGAAGTCAGCCTCAAAAGAATTACAGTCCAGAGGTATTTCAGTAAATTGTGTAGCTCCAGGGCCAATGGATACTCCATTTTTGTACGGACAGGAAACCAAGGAAGACGTTGAATTTTACAAAACATGCGGCTTACACGGTAGATTAACTAAAATTGATGATATTGTTCCTATTATCAGATTTTTAGTTACTGAAGGCGGTTGGATAACAGGTCAAACGATTTACTGCTCTGGTGGTTTCACAGCGCATTGAATCAAAGGGTGTCATTTATTTACGTTAAATACTTTCATATTAATTTCCAAATAAATATTGCTGAAGTCCGATTAAGAGATTATTAATCTCGGAGTTCATCTACGTAGTTAAAAAATGCGGTTGCAATCATTTCAGCGCAATAGCAATTTAAGATCTGAGACACTTCATATAAATTCATAGAATTATCCTTGCTTACAATGTAAGTTACTTACACGTTACTCAAGATATAATAATAATGCTTTCTACATTTAAGCTTTCTAAGAACTCATTTCAGAAAAGAATTGTTAATGGTTTGAGTCCACATAAAACTGCCTTAGGCTCTTTTCAATCGAGTAGGTTTTACTCTAATTTACCATTAGAAATTCCAATTACTTTACCAAATGGTATTAAATATTCTCAGCCAACAGGATTATTTATTAACAATGAATTTGTGAGCTCTAAACAAGGTAATACGTTTGAAGTCCTTTCACCATCAACAGAAGAAGTTGTTGCATCGGTTTACGAATCTCGTGATGATGATGTCGATATAGCTGTACAGCATGCACTGAGAGCATTTGAAGAATCTTCATGGACAAAAGCAGATCCATCACAGAGAGGTTCTGCATTATACAAATTAGCAGATTTAATTGAGGAGAATTTTGAAACTATTGCTTCTATTGAAACTATGGATAATGGTAAATCTATAGGAAACGCGAAAGGTGATGTTGCGTTAGCAATTTCTGTTTTAAGGTCGACAGCTGGATTTTCAGACAAGATATTGGGTTCTGTTATTGAAACTGGTGACACCCATTTCAATTTTACTAGACGTGAACCACTAGGCGTTTGTGGTCAAATTATTCCATGGAATTTTCCATTATTAATGTTCACCTGGAAAATAGCCCCTGCATTAGTAGCTGGTAACTGCGTAGTTTTGAAATCATCTGAAACAACGCCATTGTCTGCATTGTATGTTTGTAATTTGATTAGAGAAGCAGATATTCTCCCCCCAGGGGTTCTTAACGTTTTAAGTGGGTTTGGTAAGTATACTGGTAATGCCATAACTGAGCACCCTCTAATTAAAAAGGTTGCATTCACTGGCTCGACTGCAACTGGTAAGACTATTATGAAAAAGTGTGCTGAGAGCAATTTGAAGAAGGTCACTCTAGAGTTAGGAGGAAAATCGCCTCATATTATTTTCAACGATGCTGATTTGGAAACAGCATTGAAGTCTGTAGTTGCTGGTATATTTTATAATTCTGGTGAAGTTTGTTGTGCTGGTTCTCGTCTTTACGTTCAAGAAGATATATATGATTCTTTTGTTGAAAAATTTGTTCAGTTTGCTAACTCTGAGGTTAAAGTCGGTAATCCATTTTTACCAGAGACTATTCAAGGTGCACAGAATAGCGTTAATCAATTAGAAAAGATTTTAAAGTACATACAGATTGGTACTGACGAAGGTGCAAAGTTATTGGCTGGCGGAGAAAGGTTACAAGAAAAGGGATATTTCATCAAGCCAACCATTTTTGGCGATGTGAAGGAAGATATGAGGATTGTCCAGGAAGAAATCTTCGGTCCAGTGATAACTATTACTAAATTTAAAACAACCGACGACGTAGTTCGCATGGCTAATAACACAGATTACGGGTTGGCTGCTGGTGTTCAAACCTCGAATTCGAGCAGAGCAATTGATGTCTCACGCAGGTTAAAGGCAGGTACCATCTGGGTGAACACTTATAATGACTTCCATCCAATGGTTCCATTCGGAGGATATAACCAATCTGGTATGGGCAGAGAAATGGGAGAAGAAGTATTACAAAACTATACTCAGACAAAAGCTGTTAGAATGGGTATTATTAAACCAAAAGATTAAGTATGTTTTATAAGCCTTACAATAATTGTTCAATAAATGCAATGCATAGTTTTTAATATTCCCTCTTTGGTTCAACACAAGTGTGGCAAATAAAATCAAATCGAAGCTAATTAAAATTCTGAACCAAAGTTTCTTAGCATCAAGAATAACTTCTCTTTTGTAGAATCATCTCTTGAGATTATAACATCGTTCATTAATAAATGATTGATCAATTTACTTTCAATTTCACTAGGATCGACTTCAACCCAAGCTGTCTCTGAATCATTTTCGATGGAATAAATTGATGATGTCATTAATTTATCTATCAATTCTATGCAAGCATTCACATTTTCTTGTAATTTTTCTTCGGTCATAACGTGTTGTACTTCCCAATCACTCACCGCCAAGTATTTAATGACAATTCGTTTTAAATACGTAAGTAGTGAATCTTGCAATTGACGTGCTTCTTTAAGTTTATTATTCAATGCCCTTATGCTCTGAGGTTTTGAAATTGGATCCAGTTCTATATTATCAGACTTTTGGTCCATTTCTTTCAATCTTCCCTGTCCAGTAACGAGCTTTTGATCAATTAATTTTAGCAATCTGTTATAGTCCTCCAGCAACGATTGCTTAGACTTTATTTCTTGGGAATTAGTTTCATTTAATTTATTCAAATATAGGCTTGCTTCTGTTTGTTGTTGAACTATCCCATCGATTACTGACGATGCTGAGGCTATTCCAATAACATCACTTTTATCCGATAAAAAGGGTAATCTTCCGTAGGTGTCACATAGTGCAATAATATTCTTCTTTAAAGTAATCGGATCCTCTGATGGTGTAGTTTCGGTTTTCGAAACTAGCATTTCAATTGAAGCATTTGCTTGGTTGATAAATGTAGTGGTAAGGTTGATGTCATTTTGAAGTCTTCGGATATAGGTCGTTTGGATTTTAGCAGAATCTTCTATACTTTCCTTTTCCTCCTGAATCGAAATATCTTTACCGGATAGGATTTCTTTCACTATATCAAGCCTTGTTGCACCCATTTATATTATGTTTTGGCGATCGAAAGTTGATTGTATTTTTGTTGCGTTTAAATTGTGTGGTACTGATTAGAGAGGTATCACGAGATTACATTTTCACCTGCTTTGTCCGTATGAAAAATTTGAAAGCCGGTGAATTAATTTAAGTTACATAGTAATTGATATATAACCTAGAATCCATTTAACTAATAAGAAACCATGTCCCAAATATCCCAAACTGCTTTAGCAAGTCTTGACGAGTCTTCGAGGAAAGATATTATGCAATTTATTGAGTCTGAGAATTCCAAATCCAAAGTCCAGATGTCTATTCATAACTTCACTGATATGTGTTTCAAAAAATGTAATGCCAATAAACCAATAACTAGTGGTACATTAGATTCAAGCGAGGAGCAGTGCTTAACTAATTGTTTGAATAGATTTTTGGATACGAATATTAAGGTTGTTCAAGCTTTACAAGGTGCTCAAAAATAACCAATATTGACCTGAATGAATATTTATTTACATTTTTATATATCCTGTATCATTAGGTGTATTTATATAGTTTTAATCCGTCTTGTAAATATAAAGAATAATATATAAAAGAATTATTCCAAGGAAAATTGTAAATCTGGATTTGCAAGGAGAATCTGATTTAGGTCGGCCTGTAAATCCTTAAATTCATTAAACTGACAGTTCTTAGCTAGCTGGACTAATAGCTTTATATTCAAATCACAAAGACTAAATATATCAAAACTAGAATTTTCATCAACGTTATATTTAAGCCTTTTCTGTAGTATTGACCAGATAGCTAGGAAATCGTATTTATAGTCAAGGATTAACCTCAGACCCTCTCTATCATTTAACAGTTTAAATAACTCAAAAATGGATCTTTGCACATTCAAAGCAGACTTGATACAATATATTCCGTCGACTTCTTCTTCGAAAATATTAGGATTACTCATGACTTGGTTTAATGTATAGTTTAATCTAGAAAGACAGATAAGAACATTAGATTTTAAGTAAAGCTTTATTATTATATTTAGTTGATCAAACAAAAGCGACAAATGTGGATAATTTAAATTGGGACCACTTCTATTATGTAGGTGGGTTATTGAAGTAAGAATATTTTCATTTATTAATTCAATCAAACACAGATGATTAGCTTCTCTTTTGCCTTTTAAAACACATAGATTAATAACAGTAGGATATGCAATTTTTAACAAGTGATATGACTGATCACTTGGAGTTAGATTTGGCAAGTAAGTTAAACAGGTTTTACATGATTCAATCAATAAGTCGACAAGCCCTGTTTTCAACAATATATGTTTTTTATAATCCTCGTTGTTATCCGTCATAAACATAAAGTAGTGTAATAGTTCACAACTTTGGCTCTTCATGAGAGGATCATAATCATCAATTAAATTTAGAATGAACGAAGTTATTAATGGCCAAAATTGATCTAGGTATTCATTCTTTGATATTACATAAATAACAAACCATACCATAGAAATGGACTTTACCTTTGTAGATGATTTCCATCTTTGCCTTTGATCTTCCGTACTAATTTCTGTACTTGTTCCACCATACCCCAATTTTGGTCTAAGGCCGCCTTGTAATAATCTATTATTTCCAGGCTTTACTATTGCGTATCCGGCTGGAGTTATTTTAGGATTGGATAATGAATTACTTACAGATTGCCGCTTTGTTGGGGACAAATCTAATAATTCAGGTTTTAGTTTTTCTTCTATGTACAGTGGTATAATATCGTGTATCATATCTATCACTTCATTATTATTCTCTATAAAATTTTGAATAGTTTTCGAAGTGAGCTCAGATGTCCATGGAAGTCTTGGATGTATATGATATGAAAGAGAGGCCAAAATATTCAAAACTATGCTTTGATCTGTTATAGTTACATCTTTATTAGCTATTTTATACAATAGGGCACATAATAGTCTTATTCTGTAATAGAAATAATGTTCGTATTCATGACTATTGCTTGTGACCATCCAGTTCCAATTCTGGGTTTGTAAGTCTAAAGCTGAAGAAACACTGTAGCATAGCTCATCAAAATCTTTTTGCTTCTCCGTTTTCATAGATTCTTTTAATACTGCAGTCTCCAAAACAAAGAATGCTATACTTGGTACAGTTGGTTTATTTTGTAAAAGTTGATCCAGTAGCATTCTTGAGGTCAAATTGTATGGCTTAATTATGTTTGTATATATATAATCCAATTGGATAAGAGACAACTTATTTTCTCCTATCGAATCAGTATATAATACACTCAGTAAATCATCTAATTCATCTAACCACGAACCAAACATGGTTCATTTCAAAATTGTATAAAAAGTTGTATTTAATATTGTGTAGATTAATAATTTTTTGAATTTATCTCGTATTTTTCTAGCCCATCCAGTATTCACATTTGGTCCTTCGTCCTAAACATAGGTCAATGAAACATGATCTCATCATTTATTAATATAAAGCAACATAAGCATTACTTATCTATATGCCACATCGCAACTACAAACATTAGAAGATCATATGGCTCAATTCCTTTAAAAATTTCAGAAGAAATACTACAGGCTTTGAATGATAAACAAACGCCAATTGTCTCCTTAGAATCGACAATTATCACTCATGGGTTGCCTTATCCTGAAAACTTATCTATGGCAACTGAAGCAGAGAGATTAATAAGGGCCAATGGTGCAATTCCAGCTACGTGTGCCTTTATAGAAGGAATACCACACGTAGGATTAGCACCCTACCAACTTGAATCTTTATCTGAAAAAGCATCAAAGATGGAAATTAATAAGGTTTCTCGTCGTGATATAGGATATACTATGGCCAACAAGCAAAATGGTGGTACTACTATTGCACTGACAATGATTTTATCTCAATTGGCAGGAATAAAGGTCTTTGCTACTGGTGGATTAGGGGGCGTCCATAAAGATGGAAATTTAACAATGGACGTATCTGCCGACTTAACTGAATTAGGTAGGACTCCAGTATCTGTTGTATGTGCTGGGCCAAAGTCAATTTTGGATATCGGTTTAACAATGGAATATTTGGAAACACAAGGTGTCTTCGTTGGCACATACAATGATAATCATAGAGCCAAAGTTGATATACCAGGATTTTACTGTCGTGAATCAGGCATCAAATCTCCATATTCATTTAATTCATTTGCACAGGCCGCATCGATAATTCATAATCAAAATAATATAATGTCTTTGAAGTCAGGCAATGTATTTTGCATTCCTCCACCTGAGGATGCGGCCTTATCTTCAAAATTTATCAATAGTATAATTGAAAATGCTAATGAAGAAGCAAAAGCAAAAGGCATAAAGGGAAAAAATTTAACCCCATTTTTATTAAGTAAAATTGCTAATGATACCAAAGGGAAGTCAGTCGAATGCAATATAAATTTCGTCTACAATAATGCTGTATCTGCAACAAAAATTGCCAAAGAGTTACTTTTATTGGAAAATAATAGTAAGCCCAACGTATGTTATTAATTGCTTTTTTTATTCAATTATTTTGTACTAATAATTATTTAGAATTATAAGCTGAATTACAGAAGCAACGATTTACCAAAATCAGAGAAAGAAATATCTGATATTTTAACACCCGTAAGTCAAAAAGATGCTCCTAGCACGAATGTTAATGATCATGTAAATACGGTAACAATTGGATCCATTGCCCTCGACACAATAAGTCGAATTAGCTCTTCTACAACAATGAATGATTCAAATCCAGGTAAAACACGATCTTCCATTGGCGGTGTCGGATATAATGTCTCATTGGCTTGTAAATATGGATTAGAATCACCTTCCTGCTCTTCAGAAAATGTAAACCAACTAAGTCATAGGTTAATATCAGCCGTCGCAAACGATTTTGCTGGTAGGTCTTTACTTCAGCAATTAGAAGCGGCCGAAATCGACATTTCAGGAATACAAGTTATTGCAGGTAGCAGAATCTCAACAGCTCAGTATTCTTCAATACATAATAATAATGGTGATCTACTTGTGGCTTGTGCTGACATGACTATATTCGAAGAGGAGCTAATCATCGAGCATATTGTGAAACAATTAGATAGAGCAAAACCCAATTTCATAGTTATCGACTGTAATATATCTTCATCTTTAATGAATAATATATTGCAGTATGTTAGCACCAATATGGAACATATTAACGTGATAATAGAACCAACTTCTTCTTATAAGGCTGCCAGACTTTCACAAGTGAATAGCAAGAATCTTAAAGTCTTTCCAAATAATATAATCCAGTTGGTCACACCAACAGTGGCAGAGTTGAATACATTTCATTCATCATTTAGCAACCGGGAACTATTTGATGATTATGACGAATGGTTTCCTTTATTGGATACATTGGGTGTTGATTCGTTATTTAGAGAGAAGTTGAATAAACAAGCGCATCGATACGAGGTGTTGAAGCATGGATTAAATGATGGATTTTTGCAACAATCTTTTCAATTATTACCCTATTTACCGAATATATTACTTAAATTGGGACCTCATGGACTACTATATATCGGTCTTTCAACAAGTATTGATGACTATTCTTCGATACCAACCAGTTCTGATTATAGTCCAGAATTTACAATCACAAGTAGTGGAAGAGAATTCGTTGGAAATGACGGAGAAAATAAAAAAATGGGAATAGCCATTCAGTATTTTCCTATTCCAGAAGTAAATAAAAACTTAGACGTTAAAAATGTTACCGGCGCTGGTGACTCGTTATTGGGTTATCTAACTGCTAGATTACTGCTTTCAAGTAAAAACAAATTAGATAAGACATGGTTAGGACCAGAAATATATAGCGTTGAAGATGAATGGTTCAAATGGGAATCCATCTACAAGGCACAGATATCTAGTGGTTTATCATTGCAAAGCAGTGACGCTATAAATCCTGAAATAGCTAAAATCAAGTGGGTTACACAAAATCTCTCCAAAAAAATCATATATATATATATATAAATATAAGAATAAATACATATTCTTCGAGATAATTGGTGATAAAAATGTTCAGATCAAGTTTCGTTCATAATACTAGGATCAGTATCAATAGAGCTTCGACTAAGAGATTTCTTTCATCTAGGATAGAATCGAACCGTTCTTTTAAAATAAGATTTTTGACTCTAAGTCTATCTGGATTTTCTGCAATCGCTGGATTGACTTTATACAACCATAGACTTATTGAATTGGATAATGATAAAAAAGGTATTTCAGTTAATCATTCCATAGCCGTGGATTCGTCGATTTCTCCATTTCCAACTACTTTAATTAATGCCAACCAAACTAATCTAAACACGGATTTTCAATTACTTGGATATGGTGTCAGATCTGTGACATTTGTAAACTTTAAAGTATATGGAATTGGTCTATACATAGCTAATGATGATGTCAATAAAGCTAGAAAAATTTTAGGTCCGGATTATTTATCCACTTTTGGCACTGAAAATCATTCATTAAAAGAATTGTTATCCGATCCTGAATTTTCTACCCAGCTTATCTCTAAACTATTAAAAGAAAAAGTAAGGTTTGCAGTTAGAATTTCTCCTGTTAGAAATACGGATTTCAATCATTTGAAGGACGGTTTAATCAAGTCGATCTTGGCACACCCAGAGAGCAAAGAAAATAAAGAAATTGTTAGTAAAGGATTAGAAGAATTAAGAAATGTATTTAATGGATACAGAGGTTCTGTACCGAAAAATCATGTCTTATGGTTAGAAATTTTAAAACAAGGAAGTTTGAGTATTTCATATGAAAATCCTGTCAAGAACGAATTAATAAGTATGGGACTTGTCAAAGAACCAATTATTAGCAAGCTCTTATTCTTACAGTATCTTAGTGGTAAAAAACCTTTATCGGAACCATTAAGAAAAAGCTGTATCGATGGATTTACTGGATTGTAATTCATTCAATTTCATAAATTCTAGAAGTTATTCTTGATGAGCTGCTAATTTAAATGCATTTTATAGTATTTAAGAAAACTACATATATAATTCATTATGACTATTATTTATTATTGCACCATTTCATGATATTCCAATATCATGAATGTAATTCAAGTATTTTAATTTTATATATGAAACAAATAAAATAAGAAAAAACTATATGTGATTAAGCGTCCGTTTTGTTGTATATATGTTAGTGAAAAGAATTGGTCCGTTTACATAATAATAGCCTCGTGTTCAACGTTAGAAGAGATAGATTTATGTGGTAAGACCTTAGCACCGTTAACATAAACTTCATTCTTAATTTCAACATCATCACCGAGAACAGTAATACCGTCAGTTCTTGCCCACTTACCAATTCTGGAGTTCCATCCTACAATGGTAGATTTAACCCAAGCGTGGTCTTTAACTTCAGAGTTAGATAATAAAACAGATCTTTGGATTCTAGCACCTTCACCAACAACAACATTTGGACCAATGACAACATTAGGACCGATTAATGCAGAAGGATGAATCTTCGCAGATGGGTCAACCAATACATTACCACCATGAATGTATTTCTCGTTACATAACTTCTTTGGTTCCTTTTTAGATAAGGAATTTAAGTACAAACAAGTACCGCTCAAGAAGTCTTTTGGTTGTCCAACATCCATCCAGTATCCTTCCAAGTCGAAGGAGTATAATTCCTTGTTTTCGACTAAGATAGGGAAAGTTTCCTTTTCGATAGAAGTAGGTTTCATCTCAATTAAATCAATGACAGATGGGTTTAAAATGTATAAACCAGCATTGATTCTGTTACCGACGAATTCAACAGGCTTTTCAACGAAACGGTCGATCAAGTTTGGAGTATCTCTATCATGAACAATAACACCGTACTTGGATGGTTCGTCGACCTTTGTTGCGACAATAGTAGCCTTACCACCACTAGTCTTGTGGAAATCGGCTAATTCTTGGAATGGGTAGTCACAAATGACATCCGAGTTTAAAACAAAGATTGGAGTATCGTCTTTCTTCAAAACCTTTTCAGCCAACTTTAATGGACCTGCAGTACCTAATGGTTCTTCTTCAACAGAAAAGGTAATAGATACACCATATTCAGCTTCGTATTTCTTCAAGGTAGATACCATAACTTCTGGTCTATAATTAACAGCCAAGACGATATCAGTAACACCAGCTTTAGCTAATGCTTCAATTTGATGCAAAATCATTGGTCTGTTACCGAATTCAACTAATGGCTTTGGTAAAGTCAAAGTCAAAGGTCTCAAACGAGTACCGTAACCACCAACTAAGATTAATCCCTTCATATTTGCTTAATGTAATAATATATCC